ATTGGACCACCTGCGTGTGGCTCTAGTTGCATCACCTGTCTTTGTTTCAGTTTATCAAATGTCTCTATGTAGCTTGTACCACTGTCATTCTGTTTTGATTGTTAAAAAAAAAAGATATCTGGTTTGCTCTGGGAGTATTTCTAGTTGTTCCCCTGCTGATTTTGAATGTTTGCCCACTCACAAAGAAATGATCGGTCTAAAAATCGAATGGTAGGTGTATTGTAACACTGAGAGACAGAATAGCAACAAAAAATTCAAAAGAAATGCATGTCTAAGAAATGATGACTGATTTGCATGTTCATGAGGGAAATAAGTTTTTGATCCCCTTCACAAAACATGACTTAGTACTTGGTGACAAATCCCTTGTTGGCAATCACAGAGGTCAGACGTTTCCTGTAGTTGGACACCAGGTTTGCACACATCTCAGGAGGGATTTTGGCCCACTCCTCTTGGCAGATCCTCTCCAAGTCATTAAGTTTTGGTGGCTGACGTTTGGCAACTCAAACGTTCAGCTCCCTCCACAGATTTTCAATCAATTCAATTTCGATTAAGGTCTGGAGACTGGCTAGGCCACTCCAGGATCTTAATGTGCTTCTTCTTGAGCCGCTCCTTTGTTGCCTTGGCTGTGTGTTTTGGGTCATTGTCTTGCTGGAACACCCATCCACGACCCATTTTCAATGCCCTGGCTGAGGGAAGAAGGTTCTCACCCAAGTTTTGACAGTACATTGCCCCATCCATCGTCCCTTTGATGCGGTGCAGTTGTCCTGTCCCCTTAGCAGAAAACCCCCCTCAAAGCAGAATGTTTCCACCACCATGTTTGACAGTTGGGATGGTGTTCTTGGGGTCATAGGCAGCATTCCTCCTCCAATTATTTTGAATTTTTTGTTGCCATTCTGCCTCTCAGTGTTACAATACACCTACGATTCGATTTTTAGACTGATCATTTCTTTGTGAGTGGGCATTCAAAATCAGAAGGGGATCAAATACTTATTTCTTTCACTGTGTGTGTGTATATGTGTGTGTGTATGTATATATGTGTGTGTGTATGTATGTATATATATATATATATATATATATATATATATATATATATATACGACATGGTATGTACATCTCTCCATCTTTTATACATCTTGCATATTTTCATAATGTATTTATTTGCATGGATGATCCATTGGAGGTTTTATTGGAATGTATAATTACTAAGTTGAAAGTTTATATTTACTTTGTTCTGTTCAAGCATGCTGTATGTGACACCCCTCCCTCACTGATTTACCCAGCCCATTAATGGGAATTAGTCTTAAACCATTTCTAGATATATAAAGGAGGCTGACGTAACTTGTCAAACTGGCTCTGAGGAAGAAGGGATCTCCCTTCAAAAAGCATCAGCCATTTTTTAGGGTCTTCCTTCACTTGGGACTTGCACATGACTCCGGTCTGATTGTCCAGTATTTGATAGCGCATGCTTATGAAATTGTGGCGTTTGAGTATACATTTGTTTTATCCTTCAATAAATGTCCTATCGCTGAGGTAATGCGCAAGGCTGGTGCACCTTTGTTTTTTTTGTTCTTGTTTGCAGTATTGTCCTAGGCTTCCCCAGCTTTCCAAAAGGGCTGCACAGCCTCATTTGTTGGATATGTTTCCCTAAGGATGTTCAGTCCACTAATTCTTGATCTGGGTCTCTGAGCACAGGAGATTACTTTTTTTTTTTGTTTCATAAACTTTTATTGCATTTTTATAGACAATAATAATAACAAGAAGGTAAGTATACATTTTCATACATTAGTGCAAGTAATCAGAGAATGGTACATATCCAAACACAAGCAAAATAGATAATTATAAAATGCAGGAGGGGAGGAGGGAACATCGGGGAGAACAAAAAATCAGCATAAACAATGGACACCCCTGCAGAGTGGTCTTAGCCAAGGTCTGAACAAAATTAAATGGCTTTATATCTCAGCTATCAGCCCGATATATTGCCTGAAGTGCATAAGACCTTTACCAAGGCCTCGGTCATACATAAGTAACTGAAATATCATAATTGGGTGTAAGGAGAAAGTGGCTGGAAAGGAAAATAAAAGAAAGGAGAGAAGAAAGAGAAAAAAAGGGGGGGGGGGAACCAGAAAGGAAGAAGATCCAATCGAGCTCCCATCCCAGTCACCAATATCAATACTGATCCACCGAGGAGAAACTTCTGGAGACCTTGTGGTAGACAGGATCCATGTAGATTCTAGGGTTGCCCCGAAAACACAACCTCATCACTGTCGGCAGAAATGCTGGTAATTCTGTGTTGTCTTGAAATGAATCCAACAAGGGAGGTGGCTTTCAGTGTTCTGGATGGATGCAGGATTGCCAACCGTCATTTATTTATGGACAATTTATATTTATGGACAATTTGTAAAAATAAGTGATTTTTGTAATAATTATCAGGGGCTGATATTTTGTCATGCTGTGTTGAATTAAGTGTAAACCAAGATAATTGTTGTTATGTGTAATGTCAGTGTTTCCATACTGTGTTTGTCTTTTAGCCACTTGGAGACCGCCCACCCACAATGTGCTGCGGACGGGCAAAGCAACGTACTGCCTACTTCCAGGTTTAGGGCGCATGCATGCATGTCCCCCCCCCACCGGCACCCACTGTGATTGTACACAGCAGGTGCCTGTCAGCAAGTCCTAGACAATGATTCACAGCCGGGACCTGCTGATCAGTCATGTCCAATCACAGCCCAGAGCTCTGTGTGGGTAAACAACACAGAGCTCTGTACACGGGGAGCGATCTGTCAGTTTAAAAAAACAGGGATGAGAAACTGATAGGTCTATTAGTAAAAGCAGCACCCAGTACACACATTACACATAGGCACAAAGTTAACCTCTAGATGTTAACCCCTTCCCAGCCAATGTCATTAGTTCAGTGACAGTGTATAGTATTATCGCTGAACACTGTATTAGCCGCTTCCCGGCTGCCCTATAGTTGAAATACTGCTACAGGATGGCACGGGTGCGCAAAATCAGGTATACAGTATATACATGATTTTGCATTTTTTGGCCAGGGGGCGCAGTCATGGCTGTCAATCACCGGGTCCCGGCTGGTGTTTACTCACCAGCACCCAGTAATTAAATAGCATCTCCGATGGGTAGGAGAACTGTTTGTAAACTAAACAGTTCTCCTCCCTGTCAGTTCCTGCACACTGCTTTGGATGGCTGTGCACAGCACAGCCATCTAAAGCAGTGTGATTACAGTGAAGCACACAGACACATGTAAAACAGCACACAGTTAGCCCTTTGATCGCCCCTTATGTTAACCTCTTCAGGCTCAGTACCATTAGTACAGTGTCAGTGCTTTTTTTTAGCACTGATCAATGTTAATGGTGTCACTGGGGATGTCAGTGACACCAAGTCAGTTCCCCCAGTGTTAGAATGCCCGCCACAGTCCTGCTATAAGTCCGTGCTGTTGTAAGGAGAAAAGGCACCTGAAGAATACAGTGTCCATGCTGCCTAATGCAAATGATCTTATCATTGAATGTTACTGTTTGAAAAAACGTTTCCTAATATAATGCAAAAATGTGTATGTATGTGTATGTGTGTATATATATATACACTGCTCAAAACAATTAAAGGAACACTTTTTAATCAGAGTGTAGCATCAAGTCAATGAAACTCCTGGGATATTGATCTGGTCAGTTAAGTAGCAGAAGGAGTTGTTAATCAGTTTCAACTGCTTTGGTGTTGATGAAATTAACAATAGGTGTACTAGCTGGGCAACAATGAGACGACCCCCAGAACAGGAATTACTTCACAGGTGGAGGCCACTGACTTTTTTTTCCCTAATTGACTTTTATGACTGTTTTTCACTAGTTTTGCATTTGGCTAGGGTCAGTGTCACTACTGGTAGCATGAGGCGATACCTGGACCCTACAGAGGTTGCACAGACAGTTCAACTCCTCCACATCAATACATGCCATTGCCAGAAGGTTTGCTGTGGCTCCCAACACCTATGCTGGTTCCGTGTGTCCTGGGTTTCTCCTGGTGCACAACAATGCCCGGTCTCATGTGGTGAGAGTATGCAGGCAGTTCCAGGAGGATGAAGGAATTGATAACATTGAATGGCCCACACACTCGCCTGACCTAAATCCAATAGAACACCTCCGGGATATCATGTTTCGGTCCATCCGACGCCACCAGGTTGCACCTCAAACTGCCCAGGAGCTCAGTGATACCCTGGTCCAGATCTGGGAGGAAATACCCCAGGACACCATCCCTCCAGGGGCGGACTGACCATTTGGAAACTCTGGCACTGCCCGAGGGCCCGGGGTCAGTAGGGGGCCCCATGACATGCCCCTGGTACCTTTTTCATAGGCTTTTTTGAGTTTGGGCAAGGACACAGGAGCCCCATGATCCCCTATTGCCCGGGGGCCCCATGAGTTGTCAGTCCGCCCCTGCATCCGTCCTCTCATTAGGAGCATGCCCCAACGTTGTCAGGCATGCATTCAAGCACGTGGGGCCATACAAACTACTGAGTACCATGTTGAGTTGCTGCAATGAAATTTCAGCAAAATGGACTAGCCTGCTACATAATTTTTTCACTTTGATTTTTGGGATGTCTTTGTATTCAGTCCTCTGTAGGTTGATAATTTTCATTTCCATCAAATGATGGGATATCCTTACGTTACTAACACACTACCCAGTCCATATCAGTATAGATATAGATATCCAGCATGATCTTTTTTCCCCATTGAGATATGATGTGTTTTCAAAGTGTTCCTTTCATTTTTTTGAGTGGTGTATAACAGCTCTATCCCATCCTCAAAGTTCCATGACATCACTACACTTCCAGGTCAGGGTTTACCTGACTGACAATAGTATACTTTCTATAAGAAGATCAGGTCAAGGTGGACAGTATGAATGCAATCCCCTGTCCTCACTTAAATCTTCCATTTTTTTTCTCCGGGAATTGAAGTTTTTTCATATTATTATAAAACTGTTGTTGTGTTTGTCTTTAGGTTTCAGAAGAAATCAAGCTGTGTGAAGGAGAAGAGTGTGCCTACCTCAGGAACCCTAGGAAAAACCTCCTAAAGAACATACTGGTAAGATACACACTGGAGCTGTGGGTGGAAGAATGAAGGTGTAGCTGTTTCACACTGAAGAAATAGATCCAGGGGACCAGACCGCCATGTTTATATCTGGTATGATGTCAGTGAACCACGCCTGCTTCCTACTTTGCCGCAGGAAAAAATCAACCAAAAAGTATTCTGTTATATTTTACCAATTTAATCATGAAATCTTTGTAACCAGGGGCGGACTGACAACTCATGGGACCCCCGGGCAATAGGGGATCATGGGGCCCCTGTGTTCTTTCCCAAACTCAAAAAAGCCTATGAAAAAGGTACCAGAGGCATCTCATGGGGCCCCTTACTGACCCTGGGCCCTCAGGCAGTGCCCGAGTTTCCAAATGGTCAGTCCACCCGTTTGTAACTTTCCTTTGCATCGTCAAGCCCAGTTGATGTCTCATGCCTTTTATTTCTTTATAGTCCGGTTTCACCATATGCTATTTCAACCGTGCACTGTAGTTTTACTGCTACAGTGTATATATACGTGATTTTGCATTTCCGGGTAGGGTGCATGGGCCTGCCGACCTGGCTTTACTGTCACTGGCTCCAGGTTCCAGCCAATGATTTATGGCTAGGACCTGCTGATCGGCAGAGCAAGTGACAGCAGAGGACAGGAGAGAGCTCTATGTTGGTAAATAACACAGCTCTCAACTGACAGCAGTGATGTGCCGGTTTTTGTCTCTCTACAAAAAGCAGGGAATAAAAACCAGCACATCCCCTAGTAAAAGCACCACACAGTACACATTACACTTGTTAGGCACACAGTTAACCCTTTGATTGCATCTAGATGTTAACCCCTTCCCAGCCAGTATCATTAGAACAGTGTAAGTGTATGTTATTAGCGCTGATCACTGTATTAGTGTCACTGGTGATGTCAGTGTCTGTTAGTCAGTTCCTGCAAAGTGTCAGTGTCAGATTGCCCACAGCACTATCGCTGCCATTAATAGTATAAAAAAAAGAGAGACAAAAATGTCCAGTATATACTGTATATCTCATAGTTTGTAGATGCTATAACTTTCATGCAAACCAATTGACCTCCCTGGTGGTCTAACTCTCATCAATATTTTTGAATGTCAAAGCGGTACTTTGTTTTGTTTGGAAATTTGTTGTTCTATATTGTAGGCCTGTAATTCTTAGGAATAACTCACTTAAATCTGTCCAAACAAGAGCCTAGTAAACATCTCAGGTATGATAAAGTTTGAAACATGAAATCATAAATTATAATATAATAAATAATTATAAAAACATAATAATATAATAATAATACATTTAATTCAATAATGTAATCAGACCAAAAACACTGAAATTTGAAAGTTCGCACATCACTCAGCTCATAGAGTGTCTGTCTGATGACGAATTTCCCCACAAATCATTATCACTCAATTCTGCAAGTGGTTCTAATTTACTTTCGCTGTTTTCTAGCTGGTTAAAAACCGCTTTTGACCCAAAGGGACGCTTTTTGGATGCCATGGATGTTCTCAAGTTTCCAGGCAGAAACAACAGTAAAAGTGCAGGCAGGGCACAGGACAAAGCACTCGGGACAAAATTTAGGTGAAATGGTTTGATACAGTAATGTAATCCTAACAGATTACAATGTATTGTGTGTATGTCATGTTTTTACTTTTTTGAATCTCCCACTGGTTCTGCCCTCCTGTGTACCGACGATCGCAGGGAAGGGAACCCCGGAAGACGGATGCTGGCATCGGACAGAGGATATGGCTGAAGGACACAGCGGGAGGACATCGGGGGATCGCAGGACAAGGTAAGGATCGGGGGATCGCAGGACAAGCACTGCAGTGTAATCCCAAGTGTGGCTCGGGGTTACCGCTTTTGGTACTGTAAATTAACCCCCCGAGTCACACTCGGGATTACCACTAGGAAAGTTAATATATGCCTAAAATATGTAGCAGAATACATCTTGGCCCTAATTTATGAATACATTTAATTTTTTACATTTAAATGTTTTATAGTAAAAATTATTGTTTTTTTTCATAATTTGCAGTCTTTTTTTGCTTGTATAATAAAAAAAAACTGTGGTGATTGGGGGACAAGGTAAGCATCGGGGGATCGCAGGACAAGCACTGCAGTGTAATCCCAAGTGTGGCTCGGGGTTACCGCTTTTGGTACTGTAAATTAACCCCCCCGAGTCACACTCGGGATTACTGCTAGGAAGGTTAATATACGCCTAAAATATGTAGCAGAATACATCTTGGCCTAAATTTATGAGTAAATTTAATATTTTAAATTTTTTATTGGATATGTTTTATAGCAAAAAGTAAAAATTATTGTTTTTTTCATAATTTGCAGTCTTTTTTTGCTTGTATAATAAAAAAAAAACTGTGGTGATCAACTACCACCACAGAAAGCTCTATTTTTGCGAAGACAAATGGTATAAATTTCATATGGGTACAGTGTTGAATGACCACGCAATTATTGGTTAAAGTTGCACAGTGCTGGATAGTAAAAAATGGCCTGGCCATGAAGAGGATAAAATCGTCCAGAGGTCAAGTAGTTAAAGATGAGCTTCAACCCAAGGGTTCAATTTAATTTTATACCACAGTCCTAATCTGAGTGGAAGGATAACTTTTTTCAGAATGTATTAACATCCCGCTACCATCCTTCCAACTTAACACCATCCATTAAAAAAAAAAAAAAAAAAAAAAAAAATCTATCTCATTTAAAGTCCCATGGGGCTGGTGGGGATTCTCTGGATCATTTTTTTATATTAATTCTTACATCCGGCTGCTGGATTGAGCAGAAATAGCATACTCAGCCACCCTGCAAAACCAGGGCTGTCCTGCTATGATCCACTGAAAGCAGCTGGATGCTGGGTCCCACACCGCTATCTTCTTTACTGACCTCATAAGAAGGTTGGCTGTCTCTACCGGGTCCTAGCAGCCAGCTCCCTGATGATGCTCCACTGCACATGCACAGTGTACTTTACATAGACTTGAAGCCTCCTGGAATGTGTGACACAGGTATCTCAGGAGGCTTCGGGAAGGGAAGAGGTCATTCTCTCCTAGGCACAAAAGGAAGAAACGTAGGCTGCACTAAAAGACGTATCCCCCATCTTATTCCGGAACCCAGGAAAATTGATTTCAGAAAGGCACACAATAGTAGGATCCTCAGTAAAAAGTAATTGAAGGCATTTTGCAGTGTCTCATCAGCAGTTGTTGCTCCATAGGTGTTAGAGCCAGAAACCTGTTCACATCAATGTCAGATGTCACGGCTGTACACCTGTATGCCTGGAACTGCACATTTGAGTGGCTAAAGGCCTACAAGAACAGCAGAGTGGACCTTTACAGGTTAATGACCACGGCTGTATGCAGCACCTGTGGACTCATGGACGTGGAAATAGGCTGGATTCCCAAAAAACATGCATGTGTATGAGTCCTAAAGAAAAAAAAAACCTAATAAAAGAAAACTAATGCTGCCAAAACATCTAAATAATGGTAAATTGCAATAATGTATATTACATTTTTAGATCATGGGTTTAGACTCACTTTAGTGATAGACTCTCCTTAACATAACTCTGCACTCTAAACGGTAAGTAGTATGTTATTTACTCTTGACCCCAGCACTCTATACAATACGTAGTATGGTTTATACCCATGAGCCTTGCACTCTATACACTATGTTGTATGTTATACATATAGGGGCAGCACAGTGGCTAAATGGTTAGCACTTCTGCCTGGCAGTACTAGAGTCATTGATTTGAATCCCAGCCATGGCACCACCTGCCTGGAGTTTGCATGTTCTCCCTGTTCCTGCGTGGGTTTCCTCCCACACTCCAAAGACATGCTGGTAGGTTAATTGAATCCTGTCTAAATGTCCCTAGTATGTGTATGTATGAATGTAAGTTAGGGACCTTAGATTGTACACCTCTTGAGGGTTAGGGACTGATGTGAATGTATAATATACATGTAAAGCGCTGTGTAAATTGACGACGCTATATAAGTACCTGAAATAAACATAACAATAACTTTTGAAATAAAATAGCAGTTAGTGAAAACAATATACTGTGCAAAGGTTTTAGGCAGGTGTGAAAAAATGCTGTAAATGAACAATGCTTTCAGAAATGGAAGTATTAATAGTTTTCTTTTTTTTTCAAACAACAAAATAGAAAGTAAATGAACAGAAGTGAAATCCAAATCACTATTTGGTGAGACCACCCTTTGCCTTCAAAAGAGCATGAAATGTTCAATTCTTCTAGGTACACTAGCACACAGTTTGTACAAGAACTTGGCAGGTAGGTTGTTCCAAACATCTTGGAGAGCTAAGCACAGATCTTCTGTGGATGTAGGCTGTCTCAAATACTTCTGTCTCTTCCCAGACAGACTTCATGATGTGGTAATCTGGGTTCTATGAGGGCCAAACCATCACTTCCAGGACTCCATGTTCTTCTTTACGCTGAAGATAGTTCTTAATGACATTGGTTGTATGTTACAGAATAATTTTGGGTCCAGTCACACGCCTCCCTGATGATACGGCACAATGAATAAGTATCTGCCTGTATTTCTCAGCATTAAAGATACCCTTAATCCTGACCAAATCTCCAACTTCATTTGCAGAAATGCAGACCCAAACTTGCACGGAACCTCCACCATGCTTCACTGTTGCCTGCAGACACTCATTATTGTACTGCTCTCCAGCCCTTTGCAAACAAACTGCCTCCTGCTACAGCCAAATATTTCAGATTTTGATTCATCAGTCCAGAACAGCTGCTGCCATTTTTCTGCACCCCAGTTCCTTTGTTTTCATGCACAGGTGAGTTGCTTAGGTTTGTTTCCATGTTGGAGGTATGGATTTTTGGCTGCAATTCTTCCATGAAGACCACTTCTGGCCAGACTTCTCTAGACAGTAGATGGGTGTACCTGGGTCCTACTGGTTTCTGCCAGTTCTGTGCCCACGGCACTGCTGAACATGTTCTAATGTTGAAGGGAAGCAAGCATGATGTGTTTTTCATCTGTGGCATTATGTTTCCTTGGCCAATCACTGCATCTACGATCCTC